ATCACTGAATGAAAGAAAAAAAGGAAGGAAAAGTTCCTAACATTCTTCCTCTTTTCTTCTTACTTATGCTTGCTTGGTTTCAGAAATTCTTGAATCAGTCCCGAATCAAAGGAAAGTTAACCAATGACTGTTTATGTTGCTATTTATACCTTTGAAACAAATTACAAATGTGTGGTCTACTTTGTTGTCTTCCTTTAGCTTCCTAAACTGTCCAGAAATTAGAAATTTTTGGATCTCAAAAGAACTGTCATTTTCAAGTTTAAGAAATACCATGACTTTGTTGAAAGTATTTAAAAAAAAAAAACAAAAAACCCCAAACAGGGAGGTTTGGGAGAGGAAAGATGGCTGCATGGATTAAAGATGGCTGCAAATTCTTTCCCACTGGTCCTGCTGAGTGATGGTTCTCCTTCCCCTCCTCTTGAATCTGGGCTGGCTCTGTGGCCTTCTGGCCAATCGAATGTGACAGAAGTGACACTGTATAATTTCTGAAGTTGGGCCTTAAGAGACGTGTGGCTTCAGCTTTTGCCCTCTTAGAGCGCTGCTTCATCAGTAAATGGTAACTCCCCATAACTCCCTATTATTTTCCCGTCTCTTGTCCACTCCCACCCCCAAGGTTAAATAGGTAAGAAGAATGGGAAAGCAAAGGGATAAAGAAGGGAAGGAGGGAGGAAAGAAGGAAGGAAATGCTGAAGGAGGTTAAGGCTATAGGACAGGTCCCAAGCTCCAGTTCTGACTGCCCCACTTACTTGCTCTAGGTCATATAACCCCTCTATACCACTTGATCTCAGTCAACATACTTTTATAATGGCAACAGGAACAATTAACTTACAGAAGTCTAGACATACGGAATACATAACTTCATTCTCTTTTACCTCTCTCACTATACTAGTCAATCTAGAATATCAAGATCAGCTAATACCTAGAAAAAGAAAGGTAGTAAGTGAAAGACAACAATAAAAACTAGAATTCAAATAAGAGAGAAGGCAAGCATTAAAAGAACGAAAACAAAGGAGGAAATACACCCACACATACATACATATGAAAGGGAAAGCAGAAAAAATGGGAGAAAATATTGGTGAAGCAATTAGTTGGTAGAAGAAAAAAGGTAAAGGGAAAGCTAGAATGAACAAGAACAGTATAATAAAGAAAAAGAAATGAGAGAGGAGGTAGACTTGCCAGAGGAGAAAAGAAGGGGGAGAATATCAAAAGAAAGGTTACAAGAACGAGCTAACTACCGTCACCTTTGCCCTATACTACAAGTCTCCTAACTGATCTCGACAACAATCTTCTGCCCCTCTCTAGAGCTATTTCTGTGTGGGAGCCAATGACCTTTTCTGAAACAAAGCTGATGATGTTAACCTCCAGTCTTATCTTGTACCACTCTCCTTACTAGCACCACACTGTCCTTTCAGTTCCCTAAATGTGCCATGCTTCCTCTATTGTATTGTATTCCCCCTGGCTGGAAAGCTCTGTCTCTCCACCTTTCCCTCTCCTATTCACCCTTCAAACTGCCCTGATTAGATCAAATTCTCATTATTACAAATAATCCCCTTTGGTTGCACTTGACAGTTGAAATTTTACACTTACAAGTATGCTTATTTGATTACTGACTCCCCTCACTGGACTGGAAACTCCAAGGGGAAACTGCCTTCTCTCCCCCACTGTGACTCTGAGCACAGTACCTACGTTACAGTTGCTCAATAAATATCCTTTGAATGAATAAACAAAAGAGAAATCTGCCAAATAGCTATCACAAGTGGAAAAGGGGCAGAAGACAACCTTAAGTGAATAGAAGAGAAAGAAACAAATCAAAGAGGGGAAAGAAAAAATTCAATACAAGCTGTGGCCTAATTAAATTCACACAATTTCAGTGTGATACTATAACAACAAAATAAAGTACAATAGTAACCAATAGGTCTCTTTTCCCTAAAGAAGCCAGAAAATGAAATGGAGTTAGTTTTTTACTTAATATTTTATAAGAATGTAAAACATAATTTAGAAAATGGACAAAAAACAAGCACCTCAAACTTAAGGAGACCAAAGCAGAGCTATTAACTTACTTCTCATTCCTCTGCCAGTCTACTCCATCTCAGTGAATGGAATCCCGCGCCCCCCTGCAACACCTCAAACCAAAACCCTAGGAGTCATCTTTGATTCCTCCCTTACTCTGATCCTCAATATGCAATGCATCAGGAAGTCCTGTAAGCTCTACATCAAAACGGATCTTCGATCTATCCACTCCTCTTCCCCAATTGCCACTGCTACCATCCTAATCCAAGCCCGTCTATTTTTCAGACTGCTACAATACTCTTCTAACTAATACCCCTGCTTTTACTCTTGCTCTCCTCTAACTCACTCCAGGAGCAAAGCGGTTTTTTTAAAACAAAGATAAACCGTATCATTACACTCCGTTGTCCCAAACTCTTCAATGACTTCCTACTTCTGAGAATCAAATAAAAATTCATGATCTTGCATGATCTGCTACCTCTCTTTCATATCACTCTCTTCTTTGCTTGCTACGTTTCAGCCATAACGACCTTTTTTTTAAACAAATGGAATCCTGTATCATCTTGGAACCTTTAGAGACATCATGCCCTCTGTCATACTCTAGTCCCACAGTTAAGGTATTACCTTAATACACGTGTGACCTCAGTAAGGCCTTTCTTGACTTTAACACTGTAAAATGGCTTTCTCATTCATCCACTGCTCTGTATTTTTCTTCCATAGCCTTTATCACACTATTATCACCCTGTTTATTTCACTAACAACAAATAAATATGCTCCACATGCAAGAAATCTGATGGTGAAAAGAGAAAGCCATTGCTTTCAAGCTTATATTTTAATAGGACTAAAAAACATGAAGACATAAATTTATCACGTGAAAAGTGGTACCATGAAAAATAAAACAGTTAAAGGGAATACCATGTGCTTGTACATGTGTGGCAGCATGACACTGTAAGTAGGTTGTCAGGTCTGAGCAGATCTAAATAAAGTGAAGAAAGAAACTATGTGGAAAAAATGGGGTAAGAGTGTTTTAAATGGATTAACTTTTACTTATTTATAAAAAGTCCCTCTCACTAAAATGTAAGTCCCATAAAGGTAAGGACCCTAACTGTCTTATGCACTGCTGTATTCACCTTGGTAAAGTGCCTAGTACAGAGTAGGCCACTATAAATATCTGATGAATGAATATCTGGCAAGCTATATTGGAGTATTTTAACATTAAAAGTGTAAAGAACCAAAAGAATTAAATATAAAATATTAAACACAAAAAATACAAGTAGTACTAAATATCATTCCATTTATTTCAAAAGATTCAGTACAGTATATGAAAAACTGAAATGCCTGCTCTCCCTTATGCTCATATTCTAAACAAGGTACCATTCACTTGCTTTCTGAGAATGCTGAAGGAGACATGGTGAAACTCAAGTTTAACCCCTAGAGCAATTCACAGACCCTTAAGTTAGAATAAACTAAAAGCAACAGTTTTAAATTTCACATTGGCTCTGTATCTGTTGGCCTTATTTATGCTCTTTTTATTCTCCCTATTTTCATCACATAGCACCACCTGTAACACAAGCTGCACCACTCTCAGCCCCTGACAGGTAACCATTCTGTCCAAATGAGAATGGAGATAGAATAAAAGAAATACGAAGTGAACCCAGAAAAACTTGCAAGTTTTCCACACCTTCTTACCTCAAATCTCATATAAAACTCTCATCACTTTTAAATAAAGGCTGGTTTGCACACAAGGTAATTTTTGTTTTTGGCTCTGCTACACTCCAAGGAAGATTAAGAAAATTAAGGTTTCTTTTCCCACTCAGCTCTATTAGTACCCGTTCATTAGCCTAATACTGAGTACCTACTGTGTTCCAGGCCCTGTTCCAGGTGCAGTTAATAAAACTGTAAACTCGGCATACCCACCCTTCCACACCCTCTTAGAGGACCTTGTACCACAGTGAAGTTGTACTTTCTTAATTCAGAAATGTTTCCAACTAGTTATCTTTAAAGTACTTCTTTTACCCCATATGAAATTCATCTTTGCAAAATTATCCGAAGAGGAGTTAAATCTTTTTTTAAGTCACCGCACAGCAGACAGACCCACACTCATAAACCCGCTCTCCCAAACGTATTTATAAACCTAATACCGGCACAAACGGTGAATCCACAGTCGAATTACGCAATAAACGTTGAGAGTTCCAGGTCCATAACGACAACGAATTTACCCGTATTTTAGGGATCCTTATATGTGGGCCAAGAGCCAATACTGTTACCCATTATCCCCAACAATAACAGATGGCTTTTCTTACTTACGACTGGCTTAGTCCGCCTGCAGCAAATGTTTAACTTTCCCTCACAAATGAATTAAAATGTAACCACTCAAAGTTCGTCTATCAGCTTGGGTGACTGTCACAAAATTAACACTGTGAATCTCGTTCTCTTTTTTTCCGATAAATTATTTTCTAAAATATCGTTAGCAAAACACATTTCGTAAGATTACCTGACAGAGCCAGGCCTAATCTGAATGCTGGCTGCAAGAGGAAGCCTGAAGCTCCGCGAAAAAAGAAAGACGGGGACGGGCGTATAAAACAAGCTCAGGAAACTACCTCTCCCCTCCCTACGTGGACTAGCCCCCGATTTCACCCAACCTTAGCAATTTGAAACTTTCCATGAACACCAAACGAGACCCGAGCGTAATCTGCTCTCATCTTTAGGCCACCACGGAGAAACCAAAAAAAGAAAAAACATGTCAAAGACACGCGTACACTCTCAAAGGACACGCATCAACTCCGGCTCCCGGCCGGTCCACCGACGCCCCCTCGGCCTCCCGGCTCACGGCCGAGCCCCTAGCTCGCACGGACTCGGACCCAGCGCGCCCGCCAGCGCCCCGGAGCCCCCCAAACCCAGCCGGCGCCCACACCTGAATAGCCGGGAATCAGGGGCCCACATTTTCCTGTAGTTCCCCACCCCCAGCCCCTCGAGGGCAGAAATTGATGTACCTTCTAGAAAAGTAATCTCCCCGGCGCTGCCGTCGCTCTTGCCAGCCGCCATCTTCCTCCTCCCACGCCGCCGCCTCCCTAATCCATGGCCCACACCGCCGCCGCGTTCGCCGGGATGAGGGGCCGCGCCGCAGGAGGTTAGCCACCGCAGGGTTGCGGGCCTAAGACTCGGCCGTCAGGCGGGCGGCGCTCCCCCGTCCGGATGGGCCTACACAAAGCAGGCCGGCTCCCGGGCCTATCCGCGGGCGGGCGGCGAGACCCGCGGCCTGGGCTCCTCAGGCTCCGCCGGGCAAACGCGAGCGGCGACGACGGCGACGGCGCTTCCCGAGCCCGGTGCCTCTCGGCCCGCGACTCCCCATCCACCGCCCGCCCAGGCCGCCCGAGAAGCTTCCCCTAGCGGCAGGCCCGCAGGAAGAGAGTCTGAGGGCGAGCACACAAACACGCCTCCCTCAGTCCCGGGCCGTAAAATGGCCGCACCCCCCGCCCCGGGTTTGTGAGGTCTCCGCGACCGTCAGGCGCCCCCGGGCCCTCCGCTCCTTTCAGCAGCCGCAGGCGCAGCCGCCGCCGCTAAGGCCGTCCGCCCACCCCGCCCAGGCGCGAATGTATCAGCCGAGACCTCTGCGACTGTCCATGTGGACAGTGGTGGGTCTCCTCCGCCACCGCCTCGCGTCCGTCGCCACAGCAGCGCCAGCCGCCGCTCCTCCCCCACGGTTGCCGCTGACGCCACAA